TCGGTCTGTACTCACGACCTCGGTCAAGATTCTTCCATACAGACCTCCAGCTCGGTTAGTAAGAGCTAAGTATAACCAGTAGCGCTGGGAGCAGTTTTTGAAACTGTCCGCGAAAACCTGCAATCAGGACAATTCAAGCCAACGTGTCGGTAAACTATCGACTCGGGGCCTGAGCCGGGAAAGGGGCTAGTCTGCTGGCAGCCGGTTTGTTCTCTAAGCGTCACAAGTCATCGCGAACGCAAAAGGTAAGGGTGGTATGGCGGTAGCCGAGTGGGGAAGAAGGCGGGACAAGAGCGGAATGGCCGAGTAGGGAAGATCCCTCCTGAAATTTTGAGAGAAAAACAGATTGCCAGCAGTCTAGAAAGGGGCCGGGGCAAAGTACAACTATGGGCTTGTCTCGGCTGTCGAGGACCTTCCGTACTCATCTTTAATACGCCCCTGTTGAAAATGATGAAGAGCTGTCAAAAAGTTCCTGTTAGTACCTTCCTGTTACTTGATGACAAGACTACGGTTTTTGTTTTAACACGGCGCAACATGAACTCACGAAGCACGAATTGACATTTCTGACAACGCTTCGTGGCATAAGCGATACCTTTCTTTGTTTTACAGTGCTAAAAATCAAGTTACCATACGTAACTTTCACCTTACTGTTGGTTGGAAAAATAAATATGCTATTGAACTTGGGTCTCACTATTCCCGAGGAGGGGGATGTTGGGGGAGGGCTCGCTACCTTTGGAGGTCGCTACTTTCGGGATTTATTAATGGCCACAATTTGTGACGTTACTTTCCGGGGATCGCTACTTTCGGAGGGTCATTACTTTCGGAATTTTTCGGTAGTTACATTGCGACTGTCCCAAGGAATTTGAGTCCGATGTATTGAATACTTTTTGAGCGACGCGGGTTTAAAAATTCAGAATTTCGCCAAAAAAATTTATGAGCTCATTAGCGCCTCCCGAAAGTCGTCGTCCGAGATTGAAGTATGCTTTTTACGATCAACGTCACAGTCAATGGCTCGGAGTTTTCTGCATTATTTTAATGGAAATTCACACGATTAAGTGCTCACCAACTGCGTAAAAATTCATTTTTTGTTGGGACATTTTTTGTTGCTTGACCTGAGTAAATCACATTTCCACGGGCAAGAGAATTCAACCATTAAAAACTAGACGATTTTCCATACGTAAGTTTGGAGGAAGAAAATGTAATATTTACAAAACCATGTACAAATATGAGCGGACCAAGAGGGGTTCTGACAGGTTATTAACAAGATTTTCAATACATCACTTATTTTTATGTACATCACTTATTAATAAAATTCAGATTTAATTGAGTTCGTCTAGTAATCAAATTTCCACTCTTGCCATGAAATACAATTCTGCTATTGCCACAACAACGGCCAGCACAATTCCAATAATCACACGCTGAAATACAACGAAAAAAAACACAGTAAGGTAATAGGAGCTAAGTAGTTTGTAATGGTAATAGGACCGACAATTCGGTCTGTAATCATACGAGTGATAAGAAAATCGGACGACTGCGCAGCGGGAGTCCGATTTGTTTATCACGAGGATTATTGCAGACCGAATTAGAGGACACAAAATCTTAGAGCGGTTTTCAATTGAGTGTCGAAAGTAATTAGACAATTACTTTGGTTTTGGATTTGGTTTTACTACGGTTTGAGATTAGCTGAGTAGTCTAATTGGTAAGTAATTGGGTTGGTTTTGATTTTACGACACTCAATTGAAAACCGCTCTATTACCAATTAATCATAAAAGTTACAATTTCCGAGAAGAGAAGAATAGCCAAGTTATGAAAGAAAGGGAAAATTCGCACTACAAGACTGACAAAGGAGGCGTAAATTGTAACAAGGTTGTGATTGGTTGATTTGAACTACAACTTTGAACGTGATTGGTTGATTTAAACTTCTCTACAACTTTGAATGTGATTGGCTTATTGAACTGTCCGATAACAACTCGACAAGAAAATTGGTGGAAAATAGGAGTTTTTTAAACCGATCACAATCAAGGAAAATTAATTGTAATTTTTATGATTAAAGTGGAAAACAACAGTGTGTGTAATGAACGCCTGAATAACCAATTAGCGACTCAGATACTGTGTCCCTCAGTGGTGAAAAAAACTTACAGGATCTTAGAGGTTCTTCAAGATCTTTATGGATTAGAATTTTTCAAGGATTCTCAAAAGATCTATCTCTGAAAGATCATGCAAAGGTCCTTAGAGTTGCGAGGATTTTTGCAGAAGTTTCGTCCAAGATCTTGGCAGGATCATTGAGCAAGATCTTTGAACATTCTCAAGGATCTTTGTCAGGATCTTTGGCAATCCTAGCGAGAGGTTTTAAGATCGTAAAGATTCTTAACTAGGAGCTAAATTAAGTTAACATGCATCCTGAACATTGTTTCTTAACAATGGTCTTTGCATTCGCGCAATATGGGACGGACCATATTGATTATAGTTTTGAGGAGGGGAGGGGGTTGGGAAATTACCCATTAAAAAGATTCCTTCAAGGCAAAAACTGCTGGAAAAAAATCGTCCCAGGGGAGCCATGGGATAAAAAAGCGAGCAAGTGCTTTCTACTATCGAATTCTTGCTCAAGCTATTGCCCACCAAAAAAATTCATGTACAACCAAAGGGTGAGAAAAAACTCATGCCCCAGAAAATTGCCTAACACTACCCCCCACCCCCTTCTCCACCCCTCAAAATAATAATGGTCCATCCCTAATCTAAAAGGCCTTAATAATAATTCATTTTATAACCTAAAAGCATACAAAATGTAATTACCACAGCAACTGAAGGAAAAGCATACTGCGACGCAATATAACCAAATACAAATGTTCCAACTACTGACAACAAGAAGTTAATGATGGAGGCCAACTGCTTGCTACCAGAACGAACTGAAATGTAATTTAAACATATATAGCAACAATTAAATCTTAAGGTCGACACACATGAGGGGACTAGTTAGTCCCTGCGTGTTGTCCCTGCAACAAGTAACGGAGACAAGTCCCATCATGTGAACTAGCCATTTTTGCCACAAAATCTAGTCGCAGGGACTAAAATTTGGTCCCTGCAACTAGTCCCACAAATTCAAACTGGTTTAAATTTTTGGGACAAGTCCCTACGACTTGTTCCTCCAAACGCTTTGTGTGAAATGCTTGTGGGACAAGTCCTGCAACCAGTCTCTTGGTGTAAACTCTTGAGGGGACTAGTGGCAGGGACCAGTCTTCTTGTGTGTGCCGACCTTTAATTTCTCCTAAACTGTTAATTCAAGAAGCAAGCTTGGCAGAATGTAGAACATCACTATAAATAACTGGAGACATCTTGTATCAATGATAATTCTCCAAGAAATAATATTATTGTCCCATGAAAACAAGAGAAAGCTTATGATCAACAGCAAGAGGAGTTTAAATTGATCTTACCAAAAACATTGAATGGGTATCAATGGTTTTAGTTCCTGCAACAGTCTTGGAAATACATGTATATGTTTACTTTTTTTTAAGTTGCACTGAAATCACATATTTTAATGTCTTTTTATCCCTTAAGCATTTCTTTTCAAGAGTAACAACTTTAATACTAAGAGATGAGAAATCAATCTAGACCAACTAAAAAGGTGATCTTTTAATGTTCCTTTTTTCCCCTTTTTTTAATCAAAGACAAGAATGGCTGCTAAATTATATAAGCAAAAAAATTACTCACCTTCCTGTCCAAATTGCATTCCATCACTTTGGTCCCACTACAAGGGAAAACAGATCAAAGGCAGCAAAAATTTACATATGAAATAAATTTATGGTCAGTGCGAGGTTGAGCTTCGAGTTTGTGCTGAAATTTTCCAGCTCAAATTTTTAAAATTGAAGTTCTTGGAAATGGGATTTCTGGCACTCTGAGGCCAAGTCAGCGTTTTATAACGTCTCATTTTCTTAATTTAGGTGATTCAACCGCACAGCAAATGTACATTAAGAGGACACAATGGTACAAAAAAAGTTTAATAAATAATAAATTTCCATAAACCCTGTTCCAAGATAAAATACTCGAAAAACTATTATCCAATATTATACGTAATAGTATATACACACTGTCATGTACATTAATCCACCACATCAAAAAGGATGGTGACTGGTACATTTGCCCATAACTCCAGCTTAACACACAGCTAGCAACACGGTATTATTGCAAGATATTACCTTACTAATCTGAAGGTTTAATATAGCTGCCATATTTTNAAAATCTAGTCGCAGGGACTAAAATTTGGTCCCTGCAACTAGTCCCACAAATTCAAACTGGTTTAAATTTTTGGGACAAGTCCCTACGACTTGTTCCTCCAAACGCTTTGTGTGAAATGCTTGTGGGACAAGTCCTGCAACCAGTCTCTTGGTGTAAACTCTTGAGGGGACTAGTGGCAGGGACCAGTCTTCTTGTGTGTGCCGACCTTTAATTTCTCCTAAACTGTTAATTCAAGAAGCAAGCTTGGCAGAATGTAGAACATCACTATAAATAACTGGAGACATCTTGTATCAATGATAATTCTCCAAGAAATAATATTATTGTCCCATGAAAACAAGAGAAAGCTTATGATCAACAGCAAGAGGAGTTTAAATTGATCTTACCAAAAACATTGAATGGGTATCAATGGTTTTAGTTCCTGCAACAGTCTTGGAAATACATGTATATGTTTACTTTTTTTTAAGTTGCACTGAAATCACATATTTTAATGTCTTTTTATCCCTTAAGCATTTCTTTTCAAGAGTAACAACTTTAATACTAAGAGATGAGAAATCAATCTAGACCAACTAAAAAGGTAAGAATGGCTGCTAAATTATATAAGCAAAAAAATTACTCACCTTCCTGTCCAAATTGCATTCCATCACTTTGGTCCCACTACAAGGGAAAACAGATCAAAGGCAGCAAAAATTTACATATGAAATAAATTTATGGTCAGTGCGAGGTTGAGCTTCGAGTTTGTGCTGAAATTTTCCAGCTCAAATTTTTAAAATTGAAGTTCTTGGAAATGGGATTTCTGGCACTCTGAGGCCAAGTCAGCGTTTTATAACGTCTCATTTTCTTAATTTAGGTGATTCAACCGCACAGCAAATGTACATTAAGAGGACACAATGGTACAAAAAAAGTTTAATAAATAATAAATTTCCATAAACCCTGTTCCAAGATAAAATACTCGAAAAACTATTATCCAATATTATACGTAATAGTATATACACACTGTCATGTACATTAATCCACCACATCAAAAAGGATGGTGACTGGTACATTTGCCCATAACTCCAGCTTAACACACAGCTAGCAACACGGTATTATTGCAAGATATTACCTTACTAATCTGAAGGTTTAATATAGCTGCCATATTTTCAAGCCAACAGAAGTCATTTTAGTGTACTGTCCTCCACAAGGGCATGCATTCTAAGCAAGATACTTCATCTTTATTTTTTTCTCAAGCATCTGAGTGGGCCAGATTCCTAAATCCTCAACTTTGATTGGCTAATCACAAGCACATNTACATTAAGAGGACACAATGGTACAAAAAAAGTTTAATAAATAATAAATTTCCATAAACCCTGTTCCAAGATAAAATACTCGAAAAACTATTATCCAATATTATACGTAATAGTATATACACACTGTCATGTACATTAATCCACCACATCAAAAAGGATGGTGACTGGTACATTTGACCATAACTCCAGCTTAACACACAGATAGCAACACGGTATTATTGCAAGATATTACCTTACTAATCTGAAGGTTTAATATAGCTGCCATATTTTCAAGCCAACAGAAGTCATTTTAGTGTACTGTCCTCCACAAGGGCATGCATTCTAAGCAAGATACTTCATCTTTATTTTTTTCTCAAGCATCTGAGTGGGCCAGATTCCTAAATCCTCAACTTTGATTGGCTAATCACAAGCACATGACCGGTCCAGCTTTCTACGATAAGGCTCACGGGCTGGATTTTTTCCCCACTGCCTAAATTTCGCTCCTAAAAGTTAGCGGTAATCATCAATCTTTTGCCTTTTTTACATGTCCATCGATGATTAGTTGACGCAAGTTTGTCTCTGTTCACTTTAGAATGGCAAGGAAAGTCACTGTAAGTAAATCCAATAGAGTGTTTTGAAGTTGTGAGAGTTTGCTTGGTTGTTTGTCGCTTGGCACTGTAATGTTGCGTAATCCTGTGTTTCTCTTGCCGTAAAATTTGAGTCAAGTTCAGTTGAGTTTACCTCTCTGATTGTTGCTGTATTGAGGAGAATTTCTGTGGAATAAACTTAACGAATTTCCTCGCTTTCTGCTATTCAATTTACAGTAGAAAGTCTGATTTCAAGTGATTTTAAAAGCAACGACCAACAGAATCTGTTTTCGTAGCAAAACTTCAAACTTCGCATGAAATCTCACACCACAAAAACAATTTTGGGGAAGTTCTTAACTGGTGAAATAAATGCAACTAGCATAAAGTAGTTCGAAAAAAAGCTGTTCTTTAATACATCTTGCTTTGTCTACTATCTGAGTTACTCGCTCGTTGCCGAGATTTTTTACAAATCGTTAGTAGACGGCATGCAAGCCGATTCAATGACAAGAGTTGCGTAAAGAAACCCATTTGTAATCTGTAAAACCAATTTTCGGCAAGAAAAAATAAATAAACATGTTATTCGCCGGCTTAGGGTTGGTCCGTATAGTGAAAAACTGTGACCTTGGGCATGAAAATGCTGCCCTCGGCCTTGAATTTGCTGCCCGAGGCCACAGACCAAGGGCAACATTTTCAAGACCTTGGTCACAGTTTTTCACTATACGGACCTCCCAGCCAGCAAGTAACGTAATATATATATTTTACATTACCTTTTTATTGACATTTGAAACCATTCTGTCATATTCTGCTTTTTCTTGCTCTGCTTTTAGCTTTTTCAGACGAGCTACAAGTTCTGGACTCTGGTCAAAATACAACATTAGACTTACTTTAAAGGAGCTTTCTCAGTACAGTTTACAACAGTTTTTAGATTGAAATGTGGGCATATCATAGATAGTTATTTTTAAAAATAATTTTCTGTTCAATATGTACTCTGTATTAAAGTTCTTTCAAGTTCAAGGGTCAATTTAACAAATCGAATGTGGTTTAGCGTTGTCTGTACTCTTATCAACAACGATGTGCATCATCACAGCCTCGTGAGTCCACAACATTTTGACCACTGTGATGACGCATATCGTTGTCGATAACAGTACACACAATGTTAAACCTCATTCAGTTTGTTTTTTACCACAACATCAACGTCAAATAAAATGTTTTTTTTTTTCAGAGTGTGACCAAGAGTGTGACACATTGACGCAGGCAGCATTTTCTGGACTCTTATTGACAACAATAAATTAGCCAATCAGATTGCGAGATTATTAGCAATTGTGGTAAAAAACATATTGTACAATTTTGTAACCTGATATGCTCCGAGACCATCATGGGCCACATGGGTACTGGAGTCTTCCCACCCCCACCCCACCACACCCACCCACTCCTTGCTTTCACAAGTCTACTGCAGAATTTTCAATGTGTCACTGTTTCGACTCTTCTTGGGACTGAGAACTCATTATTTGCTTTCTGAAGCAGTTTGTGTCACTAACTGGATAACATCTTTTTAAAATTCTACCAATTAAAGTATATACTTATAAATACTAAATAATTTCTTTCTGTAAACCTTGGGCAATCATGATTTAGCCATAGAATTATTCATTAACTGTTTCATATTTTGTTTGATGTGTGCATTTCATGCCAGAAAACGTATGTCTTTATCCTTGCTTTTGAAATCAAAAAATGTAGATATCAAATAAATTGGCACCTACCTTTTCTGGTAATTTTAAAGGTTCAACATAAACTTCACTCCCTGCTAGAAGTTCGTGTAAATACATCTTAGAGCCAGAATCTGAAAAAAGATTGATAGGATCAAAATTATACACTGTGTAATATACTACTGTCAATTTGAAGAAAATGCTGCATGATGGTTAATGTTACTGGAAGAATTTTCCATTGTTAGCCACTGTAAAGAAAGTACATAATGCACAGGTTTTATAATGATTTGGCCTGTTTCATCTGGTGGCATGCTATCTTTTAGTCTTAATTCATCTCTTTTTTCAAAAGAAGAAGTTTTATTTACTACTAAACAAAACACATACCTATGCGTACTAGGTAGATAAAGGTGTGTAGATGTAAGTAAACAGAATCAGTAAAAGTTACTTGGAGTTACTGATAGATCTAGAGAAGCTGAACTAGTCATTTAATTTATTTGCATAATTTATTATGATTACAATTTATTATGAGAAAAAACTCAGGTTGCTCTCATGATAGAAGAGGAAAAAAATTTGTGTTGCTGTACTATGAGATAGCAAGGCTATCAAGTCAGGTGAAACTTTCTATCTTGTGGCAAGACAAGGTGGTTCTTAAACATTTTTCATTAAAGATTCCCACAGATTGGCTTTCTCAGTCCAGATGGGAATGAATTAGTTTTACAACTCCTTTAGAAACCAATCATAAATAATCTAATCCCAAATCTTGTGATTAACAATAATGTGCTGTTCCAGAAAATTTCCATACCCATATCGTGGACAGTTTTGGGTTTGAACCCTCCTATGTCAGTGAAAATTCTAGTCAAACTTTGTATTCTGCATTGTCATATCTCTTTTGTTGGAAATTGTAGGGAGTCAAACAAGGAATTCCAGAGGGTTGAAGAAAAAAAACAGAGATCTGGAAGGGAGGGAGGGTTAACGACTTTGGAATTTGGAGGTCATGAGGGGTAGAGCATTTTGGAATTTCTGAAGGCCAAGTGGGGTTAAAATGTCCATGCCACCTATGGTAGGGTATGGATATTTTCTAGAATAGCCTTAACTGCCCTCCACGGGGTGGGGGGGGGGGNATCCACAGGGGGGCGGGGGTGTGGGGAGTGCAGAGTGCAGCTAAAAAATGAAATGTCCCAATTAGTTTATGCGATCATGTTTTTAGTGTTTTGAGTGTACATGCATCCCGGGAGGAGGGGGGACCCCATATAAAAGCGATGGGGTGCTCAATGAAAATTTTAAAAAGAACCCCTAAGAGGTACCAAGATCCCGCTTTGTGGGTGTGGCTTGAAATGTTTTTCACCCCAAAGAGGTACCAATTCTAAAACAACACATTATCTCCTGTCATATTTTTTGGGCTCACTACCCTAAAAGGTACTGCAAAAGCTCCCGCTGTGGACCTTTTGAGGCTGAACACCCAAAGAGGTACCAAAAATGCTTTTTTAACCCCTAACAGGTGCAACGAGCACTCCTGTCCTTTTTATATGGGAGTCCCCCCCTTCCCCGGGACATTCGGTTACATCATCACCCGAGTGATGATGGATAATTGATGCGTGATAACTATGTATTATTTAGACAGAGACATAAACATACTTTATTTAGTGCGCGGTTTGTCACGTCACGTCAGTCATTCGCTCTCAGCTCACGGTCAATAGCTTTCGTTTACCCTAATACCCTCCCGCCCTAAGGCGTTGGAGTTTTATTGTCAATGTAGTTTCGGTTTCTTTGATTGCGTGACAATAAACTCCTTTGTTGCCAAACTCTTTGTGGTCTGTGGTTAAATGCGATCGATTATGTAGAGTGATATATAAGAATGGGCAAACACGAGCTAATTCCACATTTGTAGCATTTACATTACCTTTTTTCCACTGGAATTATTGCTAAGTAACAACAGCCCTGGAAATTAAAATTGTTTTGAAACTAAACTTCATGGATATCACCAGTAAGTTACCTGTAGTCTGTTTCTCTCGAAGACATTCCCAAAGTTGCTTTACTAACTTGAACGGAATCGGCACTATTTTCTCGGCTTTCGCCGATTCTTGATTTACTAAAGACATTGACGTATACCTTGATAACGTTTCTGCCAGATCATGTGGAATATGGTGGCATTTTATAGCTTCTGTAATGGTGTGTTGCATGCCACTTGTAAGGACAACATCGACCGCCATTTTGTTTGACCGCTTTCTTGTTAGACAGTCGGCTCACGTGAGTGAAAGTCCATCAACTTCCGCAATTCAGCGGCAATCAGTGCGTGCTTCCCGTGAAGTTAAAAAAATGGGGTCTGTTTCTACAAATTGTCTGATTAATCTTGCCTTAGATTTGTCCAGCAGTTGGAAAAAGCTTGCGCGAGCACTCAAACTTGAGGATGAAGTCGAAAGAATCAGCGAAGATAACAGAAGAAACGTGTCCGAACAAGCGTACAGAATGCTTTTGATCTGGAAGCAGAGAAACGGCTCCTTGGCAACCTTGCAAGTGTTAGCTGAAGCCCTGAAAAAACCGACCGTATTACGTAAGGATCTAGCTCAAAAGTACTGTGGAAACGACAATACAGACTCGTCGAAAACCGGTAAGAGATTCAGAAAATCAAGCTTATGTATAAATTTAGGGCGCAATTCGTTGAAAGAGTGCATGAAGAAAACACGAAACAGCGTTGTCCAACAATACACCTACATGTAATTGAATCAAGTCACGATCGAGTTGATTCGTCTAATTAACGTAGTTTACCTGTCACACCGAAAGTTGATTTCCAAGAGACTTTTACAAACAAGTTTGCATGACGGTGGATCGTCATACCGGAAGTTTCGATTTGGAAGAGCAGTGTGGAGGGAGATTTGAAAATGTTGTCGAATCGAACAATTTTTAAATGGCCTTTCACGTCTACGGTGAGGAAATATCGCTATTTTAACCGATTGTAGCTTCTTATCGGTTACTTCTTTGTCTAGAAGCTATCCTAGTTTAGTTAAATGTAGTTTTAAAGGTGTTGTTGTATGGACAGTCAATTTCCGGTGAGTCGATTCGTCAACTAATGGCCGGGTCGCACTACAGCCAATTTTGGTTGTATAAGTAATAAATCTGTCAACAAATAGCGTAAGATAAGTGCGATCCCCAGTTTCAAAAACTTGCCAAATTTTAGCGGATTGCCAAAATTTCGCCAATCTTCAAAAGATGCCGTACTCGCATTTGAGCTTACATAAATATATAAACATATAACAGTAAAAACTCAAGAGCTAGGTTATATGGTCATTTAATCGCTA